TATTCTATTCTATTCTATTCTATTCTATTCTATTCTATTCTATTCTATTCTATTCTATTCTATATTCTATTCCATTCCATTCCATTCCATCTTAATCCTAAATAATCCAGCACCATTTTCCAACCCAGCCCTTGCAAAATGTCTAGGGATCCCAATGAGAAAACAAATGTTATGTCCACATAGCTTCATGCTTGGTCAAGGACTGAAGAAAACCACTTTAATTTCATTGTGAGGAGACCCACCATCAAAATGGAAACCAAATTCCATGGGATGGTAAGACAACCAAAGAGCATTGTGAAAGATCTCAAGGCAGGAGATGGGACTTACGTGATAAGAATGGACTGGTTCTCCCGATCTAGGGAAGAGAAGAAAAAAGGTTAAAAAGAAAGGGAGGAACACGAAAGCAAGGAAGGAAGAGCAGAAGGAGATAGACAAGAAGGAAGAGAAGGAGAAAATAGATGAGGAAGGGAGGAAGAAGATTGACAAGGAGGAAGGGAAGGTAGAGAAGGAGAGACAAGGAGGAAGAGGAGGAGGAGGAGAAAATAGACAAGGGGGAAGGGAAGAAGGAGGACATAGAAGAAGAGGAGGAAAAGAAGAAGGAAAAGGTAGATAAAGAGGAAGAAGAGGAAAAGGAGAAGATTGACAAGGAGAAAGAACAAGGAGAGGAAGAGATAGACAAGGAAGGGAAGGAGAAGGAGAGGAAAGACAAAGAGGAAGAGGAGGAAGAGAAGACGATAAGAAGGAAGAGGAGAAAGAGGACAAGGAGGAAGAACAAGAAGAGAAGGAGTAGAGAGGAGGAAGAGGAGGATAAGAGGAAGAGGAAGGAGAGAAGATAGACAAGAAGGAAGAGGTGGAAGAGGAGGACGAGAAGGAGAAGATAGGCAAGGAAGTGGAGGAAAGGAATTAAAAGATAAAAGGAGGGGGAAAAGGAAAAAAATAGACAAGGAGGAAGAAGAGGAGTAGGAAGAGGAGAAGAAAAGGAGAAGGTAAACAAGGAGGAAGAGAGACAGAGAAGAAGGAGGAGAAGATAGACGAGGAAAAGAAGAAGGAGAAGATAGTCAGGAAGAGGAGGAAGAGAAGGAGAAGATAAAGAGGAAGGGGAGGAAGAGAGGAAGAGATAGGCAAGGAGAAAAAGGAAGAAGGAAAAGGAGGAGCAACATTTGACTTCCTGAAACCTTCGTTCTTCTCGGATGACAAACAAGTTGTCCCTTGTGGCCCCCTTGCCCTCCTTTACCTGTCAACATGTACTGATAGGCATTGTCGGAGATGGAGAAGATGTGGGGAGGAGCTTCACTCCGCTTCTTCCCTCGATAAGCAGCCACCACTTCTGCGTTGTAGACGGGCAACCACTTATAGGGGTTGACCGTCACACAGAAGAGCCCCGAGTAGGTCTGGAGAAAAAGAGGAGGAAGAGAAGTGAAGTTCTGGACTTCAACTCCCAGAATTCCCCAACCGAGCATAGTTGGAAGTTGAGGGCTACCTGCATTGTTGATGTAACTGGGATCACTTCTAAACACACAACCCACCTGGGTGTTAGGGTTCCGACGGACGCCCTAATTAATTCATGAGCTTCGAGCCAAGTTTCAACAGAAATCCAATTATTTATTAGGAGCAACATGTTGGTACTTTCCCAAGTGCAGTTGGCTCTGCCCCACGTAATTTACTGCCCACCTATGACCCTGTTTCCTCCCTCCTCCCAGGATGTGTCATAAATCACATTCTCCAACGGAACACTTTCTCTGGCTGTAGAAAACATGGCTCTGTAGTAACCTGGGATACAACCTGGAGAAAGGTATGCGTGGAATGTGCTTCTGGTCATAGCAACCGAGCTCCTCCCCCGCTCTGCCTATGGCAACTCAACAGCAGGCCAGGAATGCTTTACGAGTTGACACTGAGTTTTGCTCACCATCCCTAGATCCCTTCGGGGTAGAAGAAGGACCACCACGCAAAGTCACCCCTCCCCGTTCCTTGGCTTACGTAGATCATCCAGGCGGCATAGCGATCCTTCAGATTGTAGAGCACGGCTGGTTCATGCAGAAAGGTCAGCATGGCCATGTCCTCGATCTTGTCGAATTTGGGTGGGTTCTGCTGCATGATTTGGTCTTCTTTGACCGTCACCGTCTGCCAATGAGAAGGAATGGGACCTTGAGGTTTTGGGTTATCTTGGGCCAATCACCAGGAGAGGGGAGTTCTAGTCTCGCCTTAGACTAGAACTCCTGGCTGGTGACTTTTGGCCAATCATTTGGAGATGGGGAGTTCTAGTCCCACCCTAGACATGAAAGCTGGCTTCTGCGACTCTGGGCCAATTACCCGGAGA